CTAGCAAAGTTGCTTTCAGCGGCCATGGAATGCAATTTGCAATTCGCAATTTGCGCGAACAGCACCAGCTCGGTCTCTGGCTGCCAGCACTGCTTTTGGCGAGCAGTATATAGAAGGCATTATATAATAACAATCAGGCTACATGTATGAAAGCCACGCAGGTTGGCAACACATGTTGCCCAGACCCGCCGCATAGACACATGTCAATCAAATGCTTTTGCCTGAGAAATGCATCGCCAGCAACCACATGGTCTGTTCGCCGTGCTGAACTAATAATTCGCTACACTTGGAGAAAATTCTAGCGATATGTATATATAGAGTGAGAGGGTAGGTAGAGAAAAGAGAAGGATACACTTTTGAAAGCAGCAACTATGTTACCTACTGGTAACATATTATTGAGATGAAATATACTCATATACCATAAGGTATATATTCACTTGATCATTGGGTATATAAACCATAAAATCCATAAGATCCCTTGAAGTTTTTCCTTTTCTAAATAAATGTGATTGATGTAATAAATCTAAAGAATCGAAGATTAAGAACTGCAGTTATCTACCGATCAATAAAAGAATCTAGAAGGCTCTACAAAAGCGAAATAGGAACTGGAGTGATCTATGCTGAACTCTTATATCCAACTCAAGAGTTAGATCTGCAAGTTCGATGTTCGAGCTCTGCTCGATTGAACAGATGTATGAGTTCAGCTTCACCTCGCTTCAGACCTCTTTATTATAAATGATAGTTTCTCCTAACAAACATCGGGGTCAATCATCTACATTCTCCAACACGTCGCATAGTATAGCAACCCTTTTTTTTTTTTTTTTTGCAGTGCAGTCCGCTTGATTGAATTTTTTTTTCGTTCTTTGGCACCTTTGACTTTAGCGTGGCCGTTGCCTGGCACATTGCAAAAGAATGGTCTGGCAGCACAGACCCACCAATGAGTAGCGACTAGTGGCGGAGTTTTATGAGCACTTCAGCTTCGGCTGCGGGCACTTGGCAGGCCGCACTAAGCGCACTTTTCACTGTTGCTGCTGCTGTTGTTGTTGTTGTTGTTGTTGCTGTCTTGTTTGATATTATTGTCTAGCAACGCGTCTGGCAACACACACACACATACGCACACACATTTTTACACATATACAGATATACACATGCATCAGGGTAGCCTTCGGCATAATCAGTTGCAAAAATTTGACACGTCGTTTGGTAAGAGGGAAAAAAATGCGCTCGTTTTTGCGCTTTACTTATTTTCCAGCGCCATTTTCTTGTATGTGCGAGTGCCTGTGCGTATGTATGTGTATGCATGTGTGTGTGTGTCTGTATTTGCATATCTGTTTTTGATTTTTGTCGCTTATGGCGTACATTCAATTTGACGTGCTGCCCCTGCCTTGCAACGAAATCAATAAATCTGCTCCACTGTTTGAATCCAATTTATCACTTTGCAGACTTTTCACTTCGTGCTTTTATTTTTTTCCATGCATACCAGACAGCTACACGCCCACATATGCACGCCTCTGCACGCCCCTGCACGCAGGCAATCAACCATTTATGAAGTGGCAAAACAGGCGTCGCCGATTGGTGGCTTATCCACGCTTCGCTACGCCATACAACTTCATTAGATGTCGCCCGACGCGGCGTATGAGTAATGTGTGTATGTATATGTATATGTGTGTGGGTAGCCCTTTTTCTGTTTGCGCCCCCTGCAGCAATCGCTTATGCACCGCTCAATCGATCAATAATGAAATTTAGCAAAAATATTGCTCAGGCAACAATAGCGCGTTACTCTACATATATCCTGTGGCGTCGCAGCCTTTTGTGTCCCATTCGCATGAAATATTCAACAGCGGCAGGAGCAGCAGCAAAGGTAGCGATAACAGTCGGAGCAAAAGCAGCAGCAGCAGGAGCAGGAGCGCCTTCAAAGAAAAGTCCTTCTACCTATACACGTTCACCATGTGAGCTTGGAGTATATTGGCTTCACTGTATTGCTCTTGTACTTGGATATATGTATATAGAATTTTACGTGTATATATAATCCTCAAAGCCTCTAGAGACGTAGCAATTGAGTCCTTTCCAACAGCTTGTTAGTCCAAATCTAAATCTGAGTAAATGAATTTAAGCTTAGCTAGACCAATGATAGATTCAGCCAGTCTATAAACTTTTCAGTTAGCTTATTTCCTGGATGAACCTATGACACCTAGAAATTCAGCTAATAAAATGTATAAAATAAATTCTCCTATTTTTCCAGCAGAAATCAGAAATGCCCAGCTCAACTGCCATATTCATGCTCAACTTCTAATAAAATGGAATAGAATTCATTGAATACACTCATTCAGCATCGAGTGTGGAAACTGAAAACTCAAATCAGAATAAAAACAACAATTTTTATGTTTTTTTATACATTAAATATATTTAGATGTTTTTCATTCAAAATTGTTTTTGTCACGCAAATGTGGGGCGCAATGAGCGCAAGGATTTGTTTTTTTTTTTTTTTTTTTAGGTAAAATGTTAAACAAAATATTGCAGTTGGAATGTTTTTTTCTTTTCTTTTTTCGTGTTATTTGGTTTTTGTCAGTTTGCCTGTTTCTATTTGTTGGTTTTCATTTTGTTTGACGTTTCGCTATTGCGCCACGCCCTCATTGCGCCCACGCTCCTATGAGCAGCGACATATGGCAACGTTTTCCTTACTTTTTTCTTTGTTTAGCAAACTTTCTTACATCAAAGTACATTTATATAAGTATTTTTTTGCTTTTATATTAAAGTTTTTTTTTTTTTGTTTTTCATTTTCTTTTTATTTATTTTTGTTTTACAATGCATTTTTTGTTGTTGTTTGGTAAATATTTCACTGTATCTTGGTTTGTGTACATTTAAGTTGAAAATCATTAAGTAAGCTACATTTAAATTGTATTGTTTAAATATTTAAAATTACGTTACTCGGTGCCTTCTTTTTTTTTTTAATATTTTGTTTTTTTTATTGAAAATCATAGACAGAAGATATTGAAGCGAAATGAAAGATACTGGCAAAGCTTCAATTGAGAGCAGGAACTCAAGACTCTTTGGTTAAGAACGCTTAAGGCTAACTATGTATGAAATCATATTTTAGTTTCATTAATTACAAGCATTTAATGCGAGTCACTAAACTAATCAAGTTTACTTTACAGGCAATTTCAATTCATTTATTGTATAATCCGAGTCTGGCAAATTAATGTGTATATATATGTGTATATATATACTTATCGAATCGATTTTGAAAAAACATATTTCGAATGCCTATAGAGAGCTAGCAGCACCAGTAAATTGTGCCGCTTCGCTCGGGAAAAATAGAATCAAGTTTCACTTTTGGGTTTTCGTTTGCTTTTATTTTTCTTGTATTTCTTTTTGCACATTTAATTAAACTTTCTTACGCTTAACTTTTCGCTATTGAAAACTCTAGATACATTTAGCTTAAACTAATTTTCTTTATGTTTAATTTTTTTTTTCATTACTTTTTTATAAATTTTTAGTTGAAGTTTTTTTTTTATTTCTGGCTACTTAACTGCTTTGCGTGCTTCTCAATTTTCTGTCAAGTTTTCTCTGCTTCTCATTATTTCGCTTTCGCTGTGCTTTTCCATTTTCCTTTTACTTTTCTGCTGATTGTCCACTAAAAACTATGCTTGCTTCTAATGCTTTGAGTTTTATTTCTGCTCTATTTGAGTTCGGTTTACATTTAAGTTTCTTTCTGATTTCTGTTTCTGTTTCGGTTTCAGTTTTCTGGTTTTCTGTTTATACACTTATACATAATTTGCAATTTGCGTTTCTCTGTATTTTTTGTTCAATTAATATATGTATTTATTTTCATAATCATATTTATATTTTCTTATGACGAAAATACACACACACATTAATCAAATATGGTAAACTTTTCAGCTTTTTCTGTTTTTGCAAATGCAAATTATATTTTGTGCATAATTAAATAGGCAAAAAATTTATCGACGAGCTTAAATAAATTGAAATATGCACTTATGTATATTAACTGTATATATGCATATTATGAATAAATGTATATGTATATGCGTTTCTGTGTGCATGCGTATGTGGTATGTGTGTGACTGTTTATGTGTGTGTGTGTGTGTGTGTGCTCTCGATACTCGTGTTCTATATAAATAGCATTACCCTTTCCCCCAGCTTGCGTTTATTACAATACAATTAAACGTACAATACATATACACATACACATATACATACATAGACATATAGTGTATATAGTATAGAGTATATGTTTAAGCATAATTTATATTTATTTATTCAGTCTTAAGCTACAAAAATCGTTATGCATATTTCTGCTCTCTTATTTCCATATATATATATGTACATATATATACCTACACATATATATGTATTCATCTGCTAAAAATTTAAAATCTATTCAAAATGAGTTATAAATTCGCAATTTATTTAAATTATTTTTTCTTTGTTTCAGAGTGCAGTGAAAGTATAAAAAAACAGTTGTAGTTGCAGCAGGCGACAGTTGTGGGCGTGGCAGAGTGAAAGGAAAATTTGGAAAATATAGATCTGTGTGTGTGTGTGTGTGTGTGTCTTCTTAGATCTAGAAACAAAGCATTGCTTAATTGCTATAGAGAAGCCGACTAACTAAGGTCGACTAAGCATAAGTTATCTATTAATATTAATATTTATTTTATTTTATTTTATTTTTTTTTAAATTTATTTTTAGTTATAGTTTGATAATCTACTTAAACGTTCAGCTGTCGTATGTCTGTCTGTTTTTTTTTTTTTTCTGCAATTATATTTTACAGGCTTGCCTCTGTTGGACGCTGCAACTGCAGCTAGTTGGCCTTTTGTTTTGACTGTGTACCTAAGACGTTTAGCGCTTTCCAAGTGTTTCACTGTACTGTGTGTACCTTGTTTAAGAGTTAACGGAATTTCAAATAATGCTAACTGTATGGCTATCCATAAAACTATAGCTATGTCGTACAGTGTTTGTAGTTTTGGGTTCGATTTCATTTTTAGCTGGGTTTAAGTTTTTTTTTTTTTTTTCATATTCTTTTTTGTTGTTTTAAGTTAAAATGAAACGCCAGTTTGTTCGGAGGTTTTTCTTTATGTTTTTGGTTTTTCTATTTGAATTTTCGTGATATCTGTTCGGTTTTATTAGTGCTGCTGGTAGTTCGGTTCAAAGTTTCTGTCAAAGTCAAGACTAATGCTACAGCTAACAGCTAGGTTTTAAATTAAGTTTAGGTTTCACTTTTTTTTTTTTTTTTTTTTTTGGTTTATCGAATTTCCATTTTTTACATATATACAAGACTTTAGGGTGTTTTAGTTTTCTTTCTCCTTTATCTCTTTTTTTTTTGTGTTTTATTTTTTTGAAGCTCGTTTCCAAAAGTTCTACTCTGTATCCATATGAAAAGATCTTTAGTATTTAGTTAATTTTTGCTGTAGAACAACCAACTGAATGCTCACGAGTATTTACAATTAAAACTCATATGGGCTGTAGAGCGACCTCCCCGATAGATGCTCAACCCTGACTGAGCAGCAGCATGAGAGTGAGGCTGCTTAATAGTAGTCCAAGTGTCAGCTGCATGGGGTTTGCACCATTGATGAGCAGATCTTGGCCCGCATTGCTGCGCACATCCATCAGATCACGGGACAGTGGCAGCTCGGTGGGATCGCTCAGCTCATCGTGGCAGGGCAGCATATCCGGCTTCAGCATGAAGAGATGAACGTTCAAGGAGTTCTTATTGGCCATGGTGTCGAGTGCATCGCCGGCTTGCGGTTGCAGCTGGTGCTGCAACTCGACATCGTTGTGAGCCAGGCCAGTGGCGCCATAGAAACTGCTTTGCTTATGCAAGTTCAGATTGTCATCCATGTCCAAGCCATGTGTCAGGCCCAAGCTCGATGCGTGTGCATTGCCATTGGTGTCGTCGTAGTAGTCATACCGCTTTTGTGTTTGCGCCACGGCAGCGACGCCGCCTATCTCCGCTTCCGGTTGCTGTTGACGCTTGCGACGCACTCGCAGCTTCGACTCGACCACATTTTCGGTATTGTCTGTGAATTGTCGCTGGCCGCGCAACGCCTGTCGTGATTTGCTCGAGCTATGCTTTTTCATGGTCAGCCCATTGCTGCTGCTCAGCTCCTCCAGATTGGCGTAGTTGCTGCTGCTGCTGCTGCCGATGCCGCCAATGCCGCCCATGCTGGCGCTGTTGCTGCCAATGGCCGTGAAACCGCCAAAGTTTAACAGATCGAGTATATGCGACGGCACCGGATCCACGAAGTGCGACAGCTTCGGCTCCTGCAGAGCACAAATGAAATTCTCCAATGAGTCGCGCAGCTGCTGGTGACGTGTGCGATTTCTCAATTCAAAGATCCACTGCAGACGACAGTCGCAAATGAATTTGTTGTCTATATGCGAGAGAAGAGAGAAAAAGAGTGGGAAATCAGTAAATATATATATAGTATTTATATATATGTATGTGTGTATGAGTGCTATGGCCTTCCAGCAAGCAGACAGACAAATAAAAGGCACATTGACAGCTCCACTCAGCCAAGTCGCAAAGGTGTGTACGTGTGTGTCTAGGTGTGTGTGTGGGTGTGCGTGGGTGTGTGCGGCCTGCCCTGAAATTGCTTTTGTTAAGATTTTGCGCAGCCAACTCCTTTTGCTGTTGCTCTTGCAGCTAGCAATCAAAAAAGTGTGCGATGCTGAGGAATGAATGACTGCTGAATACCCTGTAAAGTGATGTACTGTTCCATTCCCATATATTTCATCTCCAATTTTTATGTGCTACGATCTAGACTCCCTGCTAAGTTACGAGAGTAAACTGTTTGTTATTTATGCTCTTCGGCAATCAAGCGAATTCAATAAAGGTTTTTTTTTACTCTTAAAAAATCATAGGTTTATAGGTATAAAAAAAGTCAACTACTTTCGTTCAACAACTATTCATAGACCATCCAACGCAAAAAGTGCACGCATGAGTCTCACCTACCCAGTGTTCCTTTTCATTCTCCCTGCCAAAATATGCAAATAAAATAGCCCAATAATCGTTTGTATATCCAGTCCAATCAATATGAAATTTAACAGCAAGCATGAGTGCTCTATGCTTTGATTAAAGACAAATTTATTCAGCAAACTAAAATATTGAATATGCATGCGTGCTCCACTTTGACAATGCAGCCAGTGATTTCGTTTACAGGGTATTTCGAGCATAGCCTATTGTCAGCATGATCTATAGACAGGTGAGCGGGCTCAGAGGGCGTTCACGTCTGGCCGTTGGCAGCGGCTGCCAGCTAAGTGGCCGCCTGCAACAATTGGCTGTCATTTGGACTAGACTTGCATTTGAAGCCGGGCATCTGGATATGGGATCCGTATGGCTAGGCGAGGTCAGGGCGTTTTAAATGATTTTGCAGTCTGACTGCCGGCCTGCCTTCAATTCGCTGTCCATGTCGTTGACGGTGCGCAAGTTAAACGCCTCAATGACATTTCCAATTTAGAGGAGACGCCGCAGTTTCGGCTGGAACTGGATTGCATCAGCCCCAGCTGGATTTTGACTGCGTCTGTCTGTTGCTCTGTCACTCAGTTGAACGCCCAACTGCTGTTGCTGTCAATTATTTTGTACTGCTGCTGCCCGGGGGCTTTGGTTGAGCATGCCAGCAGGTTGCCATTTGCCGCTTGCCGGTCGCCGCTTGCCGGTTGCAAGGATACAAGCTTACAGCATGCAGCATGCAGTAGTCTGGGCAGAGCTTGTGTCTGCATCGATTTTCATTGATTCGTTTCGTGCGCAAACCAATTTGTTGTTTGGTTAGTTAAGTTCGAACGGTTTAGCTTCAAATTGAGCGCATAAATAGAGGACCGAGCACCGAGAATCGAGGAGAAGCCATCCAAGAGCTGCTCATTAAGTCGAGTGTGCAAATTATTTGCAGAGTCTGTTCAAGTGTTTCAACAGTTTGCACTAACAACTGTCTGCGCAGCCACAGAGCAACACAGAGCACAAATAATTTTTGCTTTAATTGAATATAATTTGTTTACCTTGGATCAGTTTATATAAGAGCGAGTTGCTAGAATTCTAAATGCAACAGGCAGTGTCTAGAGCATACTGGCATAAAAGATGTATATCAAGCGAATATTATATCGCTACAGCTCGAGCTTGATCGATATATATCGAGGCTTTGATGAATTCCTAATTATCTCAAGATTCATGAAAATAATTATTCTTGTTTTCCCACAATCTTTTGTCGCACAGAAACATCTTAGGTATTCCACAGGGTATAACTAAACAGAAGACAACGCGTATCTAAATTTGAGCATAATGAAGAGAATTCTCTTGTATGCGATTCATATTGAAGTACTCTTATTAGCTATCCACAGGCTGCATTGCTTTCAAATTTTGAAAATGAATTTTTGACAAAGCTAACAATATGATGTCTACCATCGACACAAAGTTCACAAATTAATCGTGTGGGAAATGAAACAGTTTCACGAATATGTGATAGCTTCCCTGTTAGGCTAGAGGGGAGAGAGAGAGTGAGAGAGAGAGAGAGTGAGCTGGGTGTGGGCTGCGGCATAGGCTAGTTAATGTGCTGGCAAATCTCTCGAGTATAATTAGGGCCGTACGGTGACACAGTTTTCCATGTCAACATGCATAATTAGCATAAACGTTACAAACAAAATATTGACTCTTTGACTGACTGACTGAGTGACATACACAGTCGAGAGCTGTGCACATCATTATCCTTGCTTCGCACACAAACAAACACACACGTGAAAGGCTCTACACAGCACACAAACGCACACAATGCCACAGTAGTCTGTGGGCCCAATTGTGGGCATACAAAGACCAGATATACTAGAAATGTGACTTCAACAACAGCTCCGATTCCCAACGATTGGGACGACAATTCGTGACATATTCTCTTTGTGTGTGCGCCCGAAAAGTTGCCCACAAAACGACAAAAGAAAACTTTCGTTGCGAAAATAGTTGGCAAATTAGTCGAAGAAGAAGACGAAGAAGACGGAAGACGGACGGGGTACTATAGAGAAGTCAAAAATTCTAATTTTCCATATGAAAAACATGCAAAAAAGCATAAATAAAGTTAAATATGCAAAGAGAAGCAACTCCGGAAAATGGTTTCAAATGGACGACGACGACGACTTGGCAACATTTAGCAAGCAAATTACAACAAAATTAACATGATAATGAACTGGTTGCCACTGGCCCTGCCACAATTTGTGGCAGGAGCAGGCAGCCGAGGCAGACGTGGAACGAGCCGTTGCCAGCTCTACATAGATGAAAACTGGCAGCTGTTTGCAGCTGACCAAATGACAATGACTTGCCAGAAAAGCAAGCAGCAACCCAGGCAGCACAAAGTATGGCACATAAAAAACAAGTAAGAAGGCTCTAGTCGAGACTGCTCGACTAGGAGATACCCTGAACCCTCTAAGCTGATATTCTAATCATTCTGCACTTTGTATGCACACATACATACACATGCATCCACACGCACGCATAAGCCTGCGCTCTGCTAACTGCGCAGTAAGCAGCGACTGCGCTTGGGCTGCGCTGCAGTGTGGGCAATATTATGAGAATTTATTTGTTGAATAATTTCTTTTGTAGACATAAGATCTTAATGAAACTTTCAGAGTGTAATCATATGATGAATATGTGTGTACATTCTAAAGCACAAGTCTCTAGTACTTGAAATGCGTTTTTTACAAATTTGGGGCGAAGGGGGCGTGGTATCCAAAATCTGTAAAATACAAAATCTTTGTATCGATTAACTTTATATACTACCCAAATTTGAACACTCCAGGTCTAAAAATGTTCAAATTAGGCTAAAAAAAACAAAATCAATTTTTCGATTATTCTCGATAAAAAAGTTATCGGATGATTTATCGAAAAAATAAAGCAAACTCGTACTGCGTATGGTATATACGAGTATGCATGCCAAATTTCAGCTCTCTAGCTCTTATAACTTCTGAGATCGACGCACTCATACGGACGGACGGACGGACGGACGGACGGACGGACGGACGGACGGACGGACAGACGGACAGGGCTATATCGACTCAGCTCGTCGCGCTGATCAAGAATATATATACTTTGTGGGGTCTGCCACGCCTCCTTCTGCCCGTTACATACTTTTTCACAAAACCATTATACCCTGATTTCCCATTTTCAATGGGTTCAGGGTATAATAAAGGGTGACAGAAATGTGCTGGAGAGTGAGTGAGAGCGATAGAGTTATCTTACTGTTGCAGCAGATAAGATACCCTCAAAAAAATATGGCGGTGATCTACGAAATAGCGTGAGCCAAGAAAAGGAAATTATCATAGTTGGGGTTTGATAGTAGAAGAGAGAGAGGTGGACATTACGATAAATACAGAGAGAGAGAGAGAGATCAAAACTGAAAATCAATATATAGTAGAGCTTCAAGCATTAAAATATCTGAGAAATCAATATTTTAGATATCCATGTATACATGCTATCAAAGAGTTTAAGAATCATCTCATAGTATATCTAGTTTCAACTAAGAAACTCTGCAGATTTCAAAAAGTGAATGATTTCCTTGCTAGGATGCGAATTAAGATTAAAAAACAATCTTTTAGTTTACATTATCTTGTATTAATTACATATAAATTATATTATAATATATGTTATATCTTATATCTAATCATATATGATCCCTCACATTTCATCAGCTTTAATACATTTTAGTAAGGGCATAAAAATATCAGCGACAATGTCCCCAAAAATATACATGTGTATATATACATGGCATATAGGGATGAGTCACACACACACACACACAGACTCTGTATGTGACACACAGATAGTAGAGTCATGTGAACTGGCTTAATGTGCACCAAACTGTCCTTGTGAGTGTGCGTATGTGTGTGTGTGTGCATAAAATACTTTTATATTTTTAATGATACTTGGGCAAAGCGGTAGGAAGTGTTTTGGTCTGCTGCACACACTCCAACACACACACACACACACACACTGGCACACTAAAATGACGCCCGCCTCATTTTGCAAGCAACGAACTTCGAGTACCGCTAGTGTCCTGCCCCACGCCACAACTCCCAACTACATCAAGCCTTACACCCACCTCTACATCATCCCCCATTCTCATCCCCTACTTTGATAGTCTGCTTACTAAACTAGATGACTTTCAACTGTGCCTCATGCCGCCTGCCACATGACATTGCAGCTTAGTTTTTTTCTTTTTTCATTTTTCTGCTATTTTCTTTTAGTTTTTGGTGCTGCTGCAACAGTCGGAAACGTTTTTACGGTTAGCAAGGGATATTTACATACATACATACACGCACGCACACACACACACACACATAAGTAGCAGGAGTCATGCATATGTGTACATTAAATTTTATTATTGTCATTTTCATAGCG